TTACGTTTTACGTTTTAACGTTTAGTATACATATTTCAGAGATGATACATTTTCGACGAATCCCAGCGAAGCGAGGGTGAGTCGCTGTATAACATATATACATAGCCAAAGAGTTTATTTTTGTAGATCGAACGCAGGCGTAGCCACGGGTTCTGCTAGTACTACTATAGTATTATGCCTTCTGTAGTGAACACTCCCTAGAATTTATAATGTAAAGATTGCGAACGTTTTTATTTTTTGTTATTGATTTATTTGTGTAGTTCTCACAAACCACGCATATAGAATAGTAATTATTTCAATAAACAAGTCATCGTTTAAACCAGTTATTTGGAGCTGTAGAGTATGAGTATTATATGATAACTAGCAGCTCACCCTCGCTTCCCTCGGATTCGCCTCTAGAAAAACACAAACAAGAATCAGGATCTATCTCACGGGAACCGTCCATTTTTCCGGGATAAAAAATAACCTGTGGTTTGACCGGTAATATAAGGTATCAGCATGCCAAATTTTACATTAAAATTTAAATTAGGTGCATAAGTTGTTGTGTACTAACCTGCATAGTTTTTTTACTATCCCACGGGAACTCTTAAATTTTCATTTATGCAAAATTTCATTTAAATCGGTATAACAGTTTCGGAGATTAGCCCGTACAAACAGATAGACAAACAGAAGGATAAACATAAAAAATGAAAAAAAAACTGGATTTGTTCTATTTCTCTTCGTATATCCCCCTGACTCCGTTTTTAGCATTTTTTTCTATGTACACTGTACAGGCATTCGACCTCTACAGTTTTATTATATGTCAGAATATAAAAATGTAGATGGATATTGTAATCCATAAAATTTAACTATTATAATAATTGTAGTTTTTTATTCTGTATTTACTCTTGCTATTTAAAGAAAATATTTGGTATCAATTGATGTTAATATTTTTACTTAGAGCGGGATTCAAACTCCCGACCTCTAGCAATTCAATGAGATAGAAGTTATCCTTAGCAAGAAACATTAACTCTATATAAAGGAATATTTTACATAACTTCCAAATATTTTAGTTCATAACAGAATCGTTAACGGCATATTTGTTACGAAAACGATTGATTTTATTGAAATATAAAAGCCCGTTAAAAAAGCACTTTAGTCATAAAAGTAACTAATGGTTAATATTACAAGATATTGCTTATTAAATGTTGCAATTTTATGCTTCGAAGTATTTTCTAAAGTGGAAAAACAAGCCCTTTCACTTTTTAATATTAAGTATTTACTGACCCGGGAAGATTTAATCATATTTTCTATTTTTCCGGGAATAGAAAAAGTTTCCCGCGGGATAGAACTTTTATAGGATTTTTGGCATGTGATAGAATATCACGATATTTTTAATATAAATACTTCTACACTATAACAAAATTGTAGAATTGTTACTTTTCTCTGTTTCAATGCTTTAAGTTCTTCGTTTGTTAGTTTGTCTAATTTGAAAAAAATATTATATAATGAATTTTATAGTCTGTATTTTTTTAGGTTAAGGTATGAAAGATATAGTTTATTTTTTTGTGATATTCTTTGTTTCTTTTTAAAAATGAAGATTATAATCTTGCGTTCAAAGTAAGTTTTTTTTAATTTTGTGAAATTATAGATTAGGCTAGATGAGCCCTCATAGCTAATGTTTGGAACAAATATGCGCAAAAGCACTGTTATTTAACTCTCCAGTGAGACGACGGCACACTATACACTGTCCACTCCAAGCGGTTTCTAAAAATTTCTTTATGGAAAGCCTCATTAGCTATATACTTGGCCCGAGCCGGGACTCCAACCTCAGGAACTACGTTCGTTCGCGCTGTTCACCACCACTAGACTCCACTGGTTCACCGGCATTTTAAAATCTATACCAACAAATAAAATTCTAAACTAAGTCGAATCTGTACATAAAATATTTTTTGGAAAATCTTATTGAAATAGTCGTTACACCTCCCTTAGTCAAAATTATGTTTTTATTCCATTTGCTGTAGAAACCCTTGGCCAAAGTGCTAGAGTCAAAGTGCTAAGCTCTTCTTAAAAGACATAACACCCCGTCTTATCACCTCTACTGGTGACAGGAGGGCTGGCGCATTTTTCGCCCAAAGAATCGGCATTGCCATTCAACGGGGGAATGCGGCTAGCATTCTTGCCACTATTCCACGCGGACATGACTTGTACAGTAATAACTAAGTGTACATATGTTTTGTATATATAATTAAGTATATTTGTAATTTTCTTTTTTGTAAATAAAAATAATTTGAAAATATAAATCCCTAATTGAGTAAAAAAAATAGTCGTTATTATCGATATAGACCGAATCTATAGTTTTCAGAATTTTTATCAGTCTTTCTGTCTGTCTGTGACCGCATCACGACAAAACCACCGGACAGATTTTTATGAAATTTGCTATGATGATAACTGGTTATCCGGGTCAACATATAGAATACTTTTTACCGCAGGAAAATATCTCATTTCTGAGATATATTAAAAAACTGCATTGTAAGAGTATACTAATATGTAAAACCTAAGAATTTGGTTTTTGGTCATCTGAACGCGGGCGGAGCCGCGAGCAATGCTAGTCTATACTAAACCTTAAAACATAACTAGCGACGAACCCGAGCGGAGCGAGGGCGAGTCGCTAGTATAATAACAAATCGATAATAATCGAACTATTGATACAAATACGAAAGTTTGTATGCATGTTACGGAACTCGAATCGTCGCATCAGCTTTGCTCTACAAACCTCGCGCGGCGACGACAAGACAAGGTCAGGCGCAAGCGCAGCAGCCACATTTCATCAATGCCAATGTCTCAACTTCCTACAATAATGTAGTATAAAAGGCATTACTTAGCTGCATCTTCACTGATTTGATCGAACATCGATCGACAGTCATTTTAGTAGTAAGAAATTTTAGTTAATAAATTAATTTTAAGTTAATTTGCATTTCTTTGCATCCTCTGGCTGCCTCCAAAACATAACTTGCATGTATGTATTGTGTATGTATGTCTATTACACATAATAACTCTTATATTCGTTGTTCCTGTTCATTGTAAAACTTTACATTAGTTATATAAAATAGTTTGACTCCGATTCGATTAAGTGTATATAATTTGTATGAAATTAATCGCCTGTCACAAACATTTATACAACAATAATAGATGTGATGGGTTCATGACCTCTGTCGAAACGTTTTGATGGCTCTAAGCGAGAACATCTTCATGTTTGAAACTAATTGACCGCCCGCGCTCTGCTTAAACCTTATGTGATGACTCGTTTTAATAATCTTTAGTTAAGTATACCCTACAAATATTATAAATGCGAAAGTCTGTGAGTATGTATGGACGTCTGGATGTATGGATGTTTGTTACTCTTTCACGCAAAAACTACTGATAGGGTTTTAATGAAACTACAGTAATACAGCTCATAGATCAGAATAACACATAGGCTACTTTTTATTCTGAAATAATGCACGGTGCCATGGGATAGTTTTTTTTTTATTTTCTAAAGACGAAGAAGGTGAAGCGAGGGTGAGCCGCTAGTTATATAAAATAATAAGTATATTTAAAATTAAAAATAAGTAAAAAAATACAATCATTTCAATATTTTTAATATATCTATTACTTCCCATTCATGTTATTTTGTTTCGCGTTAAAATAATACTACTAACAAAACTGAAAACAATTAATTACTTTTATAAGATAATCCCAAACAACTTAAACTTTGTCAAAATTATCCATACTAATAATATGAAGAAGTAAAGTTTGTAAGTTTGTATATAGAGGTTAATCTCTGAAAAGAACGAGCCTTTTCCTTTTTCTAATATTATTAGGTACCTGGGCTATAAAAAGTAATATAATTGTTATAGCTTCTGTCACGATTCACGTCAAAATTATACCATTTTATGTACATAAGTTTAATCTGGGCTTTGATGAATAAAATGTCTGCATGTATTTAGATCTACAGACAGCTATAGCCTATACCACAGATCATATAACGTGCTAGACATATCTACTTAATTTTATTCAAAATGCCCCTCTTGGTTGATTATTTCGTCAGGGACTATAATATTATATTCACTTAGGCTAGCCATCTACGTGGGAAATTATACAGCCCATGGCTTTGAGTCAAAAAATGACAATTATTTTATTTAGAATTATTTTGATTTAAAAATAAAGTTTTCTCAAAGTATTTTTTTTTTTCATAATAATTAACGCCATCTGTTAGTGCGAGATTTAAAACATAAATATCAAACTACCATTTAGTTTCGTTGCGCCATCTAGTGACCATATTCTTATAGCTGTGAATAAAAGTAGCGTAAGACAGCTAGTTCGCAGTTTTTACACAAGATGCCACTAGCCCATAAAAATAAAAAAAAATATTGCATACTTTGAATTATTTGACATTTGAAATTAAACTAACTTTACAATTTTTAGAGGAAGTCTCTGTCGCGACCATGTTTTGTGTAAAGCATTCGAAACGCGTCGGAAACAAAAAATATAAAATAAAACAAAAACCACAAAATCCGAAACGATAGTTTAAGAAAATAATAGGTTATGAATAGTTTAAATTAACTTTATCTTACGTTTCGTATTAAAATTAGTAAAGGGCCAAGTTTTATGATAGTTTTTATTGAATATATTTGTTTACAAGAAATTTCTTATAAATAACAATTAATTTGAAAAATAATAATTAGTTATACTTATGTAAAATATTCGGAAAAAATATGTAGGTATTTGTTTAACATGGACACTATAAAATATTCTTCTTCACAAAAATAAATGTACATGTGTTTTTTAATTTATTTTTAATATATTGCAAATATTCAAAATAAAATTATACGTAATTCTACATTAAATAAAAAATACTTTAAATAACAACGCCATCTATTGGCGTAGAACTAAACTACTTGTAAATTGATTTTTGAATTGATATTAATTACGTATCGCAATAACAATTATTGTATAGCACTTTTATCCACAATAGATTAACTTCTCGTCAAAAACTCATTTGCAATTGCCTTCCAGTTTGTAGGATCATCATCAGGGTCAGGTTTGGATTTTCTGATCTTCTTTAGCAGCTCCCAGCCGTTTGCTTTTTCGGTAGTCGTGACGTATGTATTGTTTGGGTCCTGTTCCAGGGTGTAAGCTCCAAGGACTAGACTTTGGACTAAACGGGCTGATATCAGAGTCTACAAACATAAAAATAAAAATACAAAAATAACAGGATAACTTAAATGTATGTTTCTGTATTCAAAATAAGTAACTATAGTAAATCACTAAGTTACATATTTTGTTGTTTTTGTTGATTATATTTCTATCAGTTACTTAAAGGTATAATTAATGCAAGAGAATTAAAAAAATCTATACAAAGGTTTCAACTGAAAAGGATTTTGACATATCGTTGGCTCACTATTACAAGGTTCTATGTTACAATTTTAGTACTTATTTAGATATTAATACTACAAGGTTCTATGTGTCATTAGCTACAGTTTTGCAAAAACAAACCACTAGATAGCGGCACTATAACTATAAAATATTCAATTTTACATAGTTCTATGATGTTTTTTTACGATAACTAAATAACGAAGTTCTATGTGAAAATTACTAAACTTCATTAAAATTAACATAGAACCTTGTAATAGTAAGCCATCGAATTATGTTTCAATTGCAGAGTTTATATTTATGTTACTTAATTATAATTTACAGAGGTTGTGTCTAACTTAACAATAAACAGCATAAAGGATTATTAAATTTTAAGTTCAGTGATCCTTTTTTTTTTGACGTTGGGAAATGCATTTATGCACTAAGTGTGGGACTCACCCGCGAAGCCAGTACTACCCACTAAAACCCAACAAAACCTTCCATCGTCTTAATGGGGCGTCACAGGATCGCTTACGCATTCAACTACGACGCCCCCACGGCAGGTCTGCCGAAGCGGACCACAACAACCACGGGGTTGCTCCAAGATCCACTCTGCTATCAGAGAAGTACCAGGAGCAACCCGCATGGTACACCGCCCTCCGAAGAGGGCCGCCTCCCACCGCCCACCGAAGCGGGCCACCTCCCTGTGCGTTTCTTGGCTTCGCGCCCGGCTGTATTGCCGGGCACTACTGAGCCCCCCACCATGACAAGGTGAACGCACGTTGGGGGGGAGTTCAGTGATCCTAACCAACCCATAGACAGTCAAATCCTAATAAATATTATAAAATTATTATGAGAATACTTGCCTTTAAAAGTCTATATTCTTCATCGGGCAATCTTCTAGTGACAGTATATCCAGCCAACGTAAATCCTCCAGTACGAGGGTCTCCAGTCAGCAACATCATGTACGTCATAGTGATTGCGAGCTCGAACACGTAGTAAGAGTATTGGATATCTCCGAAATCAATTATACCAGATATACGATAATCGGTTTTACTGTAAAATAAATAAAATTTAGTAAAACTCCTGCTAAAATGCTGCTACTTTATAGCAGCATTTTTAATTGTGTTAATTAATTTCTAAAAAGGCTGTAAGTGAATAGTATATAGTCAATATTTATTAAAATTGAGTGATGTTTCCTTAAATTTATATAAACTTAAGTTTGCGCATCAATTTGAAGTATAAATAGAAACATCAGCTTAAAAGTGCAAGCAGAAGAAAGGAAAAGATAATGCAATAAACATTTTGAATATATCCCACCTGTGTTAATTAAAGCCAAAATTAATGAAACGGTATATTAAGAATACTTATTATCGCTAGAGTTAGCCCATGTAAGCATCATACCTAGCGTCACTTACACCGGCTCACCTCATTATTATGCCATTAAGTATCTGCTTGCAAACTCTCAAAACTGATGGTTTTAGGGGCCTATACAAAATAATTTACCCAATATTTAATTCATTTACGTTGGAAAACCAAAAAACATTTGATAAAAATATATGTGTGTGTATAGGCATCGGAATCTATTTGGATAGTAAATTGTATTTTTATGGTATGTTACTGACTAGAAATTCAAAATTGCTAAAACGAATTGCTAAACCGAATGTTATAGGTTTAATTCGAGAAGAGATAAAATAATTTAATTTGATTTTACAATCGCTTGTCATTATTGGCTACTTTTCTAGCGAATGGGAAGAAAAATCGCGCCGTTTATTACCGTTTGCGTTAGGATTGGAAAGTTAAATATTGTTTTTATTTATATTAACAGGATCTTATTTCTCAGAATTAAAGAAAACTGCAAACAATTTTGTAGAAAGCATTAACTTCACTCTCATCATACAAATAACATTAAAATTTAAATTACCTGCCCCCGGGTTTAAGACTAACGAGAACATTCATCTCGTTGACGTCTCCGTGGATGACTCCCTTTTCCAGCTCATCGAGTCGAGGTACAACTGCATATTTATACTCTTCAATTACCTATAGCAAAATAAAATTGTGTAGATCAGTATTTATAAGTAGGCAAAGACAAAACAGTTCAGTAAGTAGATACTATTTTACTCTGTTTGTCATCCGATTTTCTCTTTTTTGTTTAATAGCTATTGACGAGCGTTAGTGTTTATTTAAAAAAATGGAAACAATTTTATATTGGTACATTAAATTCAAATACGTTTTCTCAAATTTTCAATAATTATTTTGATACGATTACGAGCACTGGACGAATACAGTACATATGAAGTAACTTGCTACAAAGCTATATTTTTTTATTATATTAATAATTTAATATATTAATAAAATTAATAATTTAATTTTATTATATCCACATAATATTTCAAGAGTAATCAAAACGTTTCATTACTTAAGCATTTAAATGTTAAGTTTACCTCCTCAACTAAGTCGAGTTTCTCAGCATCTTTAATGACATATTTAAATTTCTCAAGTTCTGGCACCTTACTCAACATCCAGATGTGTTCGCGAGACACCAGACCAGAATGATTGAAGTTCTGTAAAATAAAATTAAAAAAAAGATGTATATTCCACAAAACCTTTTTTAATTTTTATAACAATTAATATTTTTTCAAACAATATCGTGATTTAACATCAATGTAAGCAATTTTAAAACACCATGTTTATTTTATGTATTCAGTATTACAGCGTAACGTAACAGACAGCGTAAAACCTTGAAAATGACTATTCTAGGTCATAATTACCTGTGACGGATGCATTACCGTCAGTTTGACGGTTAAATCCTAGAAAATGTGTTTAAAGTATGGAAATATAACATATAAGTAACTTGCTTTTATTTATCTTGTGAATAGTTCCTAAAATACCTGTAACCTGATATTGTTTTAAATAATTTTTAAAGCAGCACCAATTTAAATTTTAATTACCTGTAACTTGTTATCTAAATTAGCCACAAATTCTCCAAGCTGATAAAACAGGGATTCAGAAAGAGGTGCATCTTTCAATAGTTCTCCAGGAATATATTCTAAAAGACGTACAACATGCTGCTTGCCCCCAATGTTCTCTACAGAGTGAAGATGGCCATAAACGTTTCGAATCGGCTTAGGACATGATACTGATCGAGTGCCTATAAAAATAATTTTCACAATCGTTTTAAAGTATTGTTGTAAATCCATTTAAACTTAATTATGTTTTATTTATTTCAGTGCTTTACAGGAACACTCCTTTAAATGTTTTAGATAACATTTATCTAATACAATATATTTCTATTTACACACTATAATCTCTCTATACGTGTATATAAAAATGTGGCAGGGGCGATTTTGATGAAATTTTCAGGCAATCTTCAGATTAGCCCAGCGGGGACCCAGTAAAGTTTGGTAACGATCGGAAATTTGAACGCGGGCTAAGCCGTGAGTAACATAGCAGTATTACTATTTTTTGTAAAAAAAATAAAAACCGACTTCAAACAAAAGTACTAAAAAGTAAAAAATAACTGATTGGTAGTTTTCATTTACTATACATACCTCATCAAATATTTTCGAAGTCGGTGTGTTTTGCTTTGTATGGGCTGGCACCGATTTCGATAATATTTGATTAGGTATGTATTTAATAGGTAGGCTTTAATTACTTAGCCAAAGCACACCGACTTCGAAAATATTTGATTAGGTATGTATAGTAAATGAAAACTACCAATCAGTTATTTTTTACTTTTTAGTGCTTTTGTTTGAAGTCGGTTTTTATTTTTTTGTTAAAAAGTTTTTATTTTTCCCTTTTTAGTGTAGACAGTAGTAGCAAAGTAAGAATGCTAACGTGTTAGGCTTGTCGAATCAAACAAAATAAGCCCAAACTCAAAGTATCTACTATTAGCCGTTGAAGAGTTCCACCTATCCACCTTCTGGCCTTACCATCAGTTCAGATCAACAATACCGAACCACTGTACTATCAACGGAAATAGAAACACTTGTAAAGTTTCAAGTCAATATGACAATTAGAAGTAGGTTAAATTCATCATTAGCTATTTTTCCACCCTTAGGGGTGGTATTTTTTTTTTAATTTAAATGGGACCAATCTGGAAGTATACACTTTCAAACAACACAAAAATTGTCCAAATCAGTTAATAAATGACGGAGTTCTGAGGTAACAAACATAAAAAAAATACAGTCGAATTGAGAACCTCCTCCTTTTTGAAGTCGGTTGAAAAACAGAAGACAACAAAAACAAACTCACCCAAAAAGTTCATTATTTCATTTTGCGCCTCTACCACATTTAAATTCTGTGAGTCCATTGAGTTCATTATCTTCAAGACGTATCCATATTGACTGTGATTCGTAATCAATGGATTTTTCATATTGGGGTCTTCAGTTATTTTATAATTCTTGTCATCGTAGCCATTCAGCTCGGAGAGCTCCAAAACGGATATGCCATAAAGCCTTTCAGCTAATAACTTAACCCCATCGTGATCGATCACCGGCCGGATAATTTTTCCAGGCTCCAAGACTAAGCCTCCCTTTTCTGACATTCTTATTAGATCCTGTCAAAAATTATGCCAAAGTAACATTTCCAGTAGTTAGTTTGTACCGGTTCTGGCTCGTGAGCCAGAACCCGTGAGCCAGAACCGGTGCAATCTGGCAAACTTACTCTCGGTACTGACGGGCTAACTCACGGACGATTCTGTTTTGTAACGGTCGATTCTCGAGTTACGGATCCTAAAAAAAAAAAAAAAAAAAAAAAAAAAAAAAAAAAAAAAAAAAAAAAAAGGTTTTGGCATGCTCTGATCACGAATCTGCGATCCATTTTTGCGTACGATGCGCGGTTCTGGAGATGTGGAAATCAATTAGGAAATATCTGATTGATATCCGGTGGCCTCGCACCCTCATTAGCGCTCCGTTGCTCTCCTTATCTATTGTTCCGAAGATAACGCGCTAACAAGGGATGGGTCATAAATTTTCGTGTGCTTAGGAATTTGCTTTAGGTAAGAAATAACTATTTATAATATATGATTTTATAATATTTGATTTGATTGTATACTTCTATTGGTCATCAACTACCATGCTACTCTAAATCATAAGTAAAACACACTCATCTAACAATTTTTATTTATTCATTTCATAATTTTATTACATATCTATACACATACATAACATTGAAGTGTCTGTTTTTCATTTCAAATTCTCAGTTTTTAATTAAACACATATCAAAGTATATAACATACTAACATCAAAAAAACAGTTTTTACAATTTTTGTCTGTATGTCTTTCACTGATAGATACCTAAGGTTCTATGGAGTAACTATTTAAATTAACCTAAAATTATAAAACCCGTTTAATTTCTTTTAACTTACGCCCAGCGAAGTGGGCCTGGTTTGCTAGTTCTCTATAAAATATGAGCGGAACATCTCATCCACTAAAATATCGTTGTACAATGTGTTCCCTGTAAATATGTTCGTAAAACTATACATTGAATATCCCTGAAACTTATATTGCAAATACATTAAGCAATATTCACCACATACTGAAGTCCAATCATTCTGAATCCTATTAATATTCCAGACCCATCTTTTACAATTCCTTTTTAAAAACTCTAGATGATATCGTGTAGGTGTTCGTCCATATGAATCAAAATATTCACCTATGCTATTCGTATCGATATGTAAAGCTACCCAGTGTGAGCCTGGTTTATCATCTGTATCCAAATTGCATATTATACACGTTGGTACATGAGTATACATGGGTAGTCTATTAGCAGCATAAACATTATTTTCTAGACTAGGATGAATCTTTTTCATATGTCGCTGAACATCTAGTGTATCCATGATATTACTGCTATTGGTACATTTATACAGTACCAATCTATTCAATGGATAACCTAGGAATGTTCAATTATAGTGCTTTTTAATTATTAAATCGCATTCTTTTGTGATGAGTCATGGAACTGGTTTATCATTCGTATCCAAATTGCATATTATACACGTTGGTACATGAATATACATGGGTAGTCTATTAGCAACATAAACATTAACTGTGCAGCGCATCACGAAGGGATGTGAGATAACGCGCTACGAAGGGATGGGTCATAAATTTTCGTGTGCTTAGGAAAGGAATGTGAGATAACGCGTCACGAAGGGATGGGTCATAAATTTACGTGTGCTTAGGAAAGGAATGTGAGATAACGCGCCACGAGGGGATGTGAGATAACGCGTCACGAAGGGATGGGTCATAAATTTTCGTGTGCTTAGGAATTTGCTTTAGATAAGAAATAACTATATAAGGTCGAACAACTGCCGGCATGCAATCAGTCTATGGTCGCTCGACCGCAGTGAATTGCATATAGTCTACCAATACTACACGTGTGTTACTTCAACTCATCAATACCCATGGAGGTAAGTGTTTATATTCTATTAACAAACTTTCTTTTCTTTCTGTTTCCTAACGTGTGTGTGGTGTTTCATAAGCGTAAATAAATTGATATTAACATGATAACTGTGTTGTTGCAGAAATCATTCAACTTCGATGAAAATACATATAAACAGTATTACTACTCGTCACTCTCCCCTCAATGCGAAGAACAGAGTGATGACATCGTGATTAATAACACACGTGATGGTGTAAAAAGGAAATCGCCGGCGCTTGATCAGTTTTTTGAAGTGGCGCCAAAAATAAAAAAGAAGAAACTGTTATCATCAACCGTGGCACGAGCCTCTAGAGATGGTGTATCATACATTTCTACTAATTCCGATGACGGAAACCAAGCGACGCATCTAATAAAAGTTGAAATGTATGATATGAAGAAACTATGTAAGATTCCAACTACTGATCATTGGAAACATGCCACCACGAGGATTAAATATTATATAAAGAATAATGATAGCATCTACGATGACACAAACAGCCTCATATACAATATTACAAAGACAATAGCAGAAAGTGAAACAGTTAAAAAATACTTTTTTAACAATAACAATCATTAGTGAATGTGTTTCCTTAAATTACTTCTGTGTACTCATTAGATTCTATCTGATTTTATAATCCTTTGCTAGACTATAATATATTAATAATGAGTGGTGTAAAGGACCAGTTGTCTTGTGATCGTGAGAGAATGACAAGTGCAGAAGGGAGAGATGAGTGTGGTATACATGTACAGAACACGTCATTGAATAGTAAGGTTACAATGCTCAGTGGAGAAGAAAAAGAGAAGAACATTCAGTACCTAAGTGCTGAATATCCATTCTTCAGTTCAAAATCTAGACGGTTGCTCAGTTTTGAAGACTGGCCTCTCGCTATGCGACAGAAACCTGAAGATCTTGCAGAAGCCGGTTTCTTTTATACTGGATGTGGAGACAGGACCAAATGTTTCCATTGTGGTGGTTTAAAAGATTGGGAAGATGATGATGATCCTTGGCAGCAACATGTTCAGTGGTTTAGTGAGTGTGCTTATGTAAAGCTTAAACTCAAATAGTGTTTTATATAAAATTAAATAAGGGGTTATAATGAAATAAAAAATGATATACTGCATATAATTTGTTTTATTTAATTGTATAATGTTTCTTAAACTTACATACACATAACATGCATTACGAATAATACATAAACCTAATACACAACACACATTATAACTTACTTAACTACTATAGTCTACAGTAATATTTCTGTTTTTATCTATTTCAATAATGTTATCAAACTCAGCATACACTATACAGTTAATTGTTTGTATTAGTGAGGATTCAAATCGCACTTCTAATCTTACACTACCATGCTTTATGAGATTCCAATGAGATGATGAGTTAGCTGACAAATCAGGTGTCAAATCAAATGCTAATAGACAGTAACCTTTAGCATACTGTTCACGAGAGATTGCATTTCCTTCATTAAGAAAGTGAATACCAGTTCCTGAGAACAGAGTATGATATGCTGATGTAAATATACTATTATTAAAAGATGGTTGTAAAGCTTTTGAAGGTATTTGTTGACCATCAATATATAAGCTGAAAGAATTTATACCATAGTTTTCAAAATTAAATGGATTTTTAGTAAGGGAACCATTAAATGCAGAATTGTTCACAAACCCGATTATACATCTTTTGGGTACCTGTCCTAGGAATATATTATCAAGAGTTTTTCCTTGAACACCCGATGGAATTGTTAAAACTTTGACTTCTGCTCGAGTAATAGGATATTTAGCAGTAGTAGAAGCTAAAACTTTCTGATGTGCAAGTAACACACTTGGGTTAATGCGTGCTCTTCGAACAATAAGAGTTTTGAGTTAGCAGAACCTTTTTATGATTTTGATTGGTACACCGGTAGTTTTATAGGTGTGGCTCATGAATCATGTAGCTCGAAATTCAGAACACCACGTCATATACCAATATTTTTACATAACCTTAGTCACTATGATGCTCATTTTATTGTTCATGCATTAAACTTTTGTGATGGCGAAATCGATGTTATCCCTCAAAATAAAGAAAAATATATATCCTTTTCCAAAAAATTTAAAATAAATAATCATGAAGTTATATTGAGATTCGTGGATTCATTTAAGTTTTTATCGTGTAAATTAGATCAATTAGCCAAAAATCTCAGTAATGATCAATTTCAAGAATTACGTAGAAATTTCCCTAAGGATGAAGATTTCATTCGTTTAAAACGGAAAGGGGTTTATCCATACGAATTTATGACTAATTATGATAGTTTAAAGCTAACATCGCTCCCTGATAAAAATGATTTTTTTAGTTCACTCACAGATTCCCATATTTCAAACGATGATTACAATCATGCTAAAGATGTTTGGGAGCACTTTGGTTGTTGTAATATGCTAGATTATTCAAACTTGTATTTAAAAACAGATGTTTTACTTTTATCCGATGTATTCGAAAACTTTAGAAATCTATGTATGAATACCTATCATTTAGATCCAACCCATTATTATACAGCTCCAGGATTAAGTTGGGATGCAATGTTAAAATATACACAAATAGAATTAGAACTTTTAACAGATTATGAGAAAATTGCATTTATTAGGTCAGGTATCAGGGGTGGTGTATCTCAATGTAGTAAACGTTATGCTAGAGCTAATAACAAATACATGGAGGATTATGATGTAGAGAAACCAAATTCATATATCACATATTTTGATGCTAACAATTTATATGGTTGGGCTATGTCTCAAAATCTTCCTACTGGTGAATTTGAATGGGTAAATCCGAATACAGATTTTAATGTGTCTGAAACATCGGACTTCGGTTTCATTTTAGAAGTTGATTTAGAATATCCCGATGAACTTCATGATTTACATTCGGACTTTCCTTTATGTCCCGAAAACATTTGTGTAGGTAATACTAAGGAGAGTAAACTAGTCCCAAATTTAAATAATAAAGTTAAATATGTAATTCATTACAGAAATTTAAAGCAATGCATAGAAATGGGGGTAAAACTAACTAAAACTCATAGAGTTTTAAAATTTAAACAGTCTCCATGGTTAAAAAAGTATATAGATCTAAATACAAAATTTAGAATGTTAGCAAAATCAGATTTCGAAAAAGATTTTTATAAATTAATGAACAATTCAGTCTTCGGTAAGACTATGGAGAATATCGAAAAAAGGGTCAACGTAAAATTAGTTACACACTGGGAGAACCGGGGTAAAGCTTTAGGTGCTCAAGATCTAATCGCTAAACCACAATTTCATAGTGTTTCAATATTTTCGGAAGACCTAGTTGCGGTTCAGTTGCGAAAAACTAAGTTGATATATAACAAACCAATTTATTTAGGGTTTTGTATTTTAGATATTTCAAAAACGTTAATGTATGATTTTCATTACAACTATATGATTAAAAAGTTTAGAAAAATCAATTTATTGTATACAGATACGGATAGTTTAATATATCATATATTTACAGATGATTTTTACACTGATATAAAACCTGATCTTTCCTCATACTTTGACACCTCAGATTATGATACAAATAATATTTTTGAATATCCAAAATTAAATAAAAAGAAATTAGGTTTTTTCAAAGATGAAAACAATGGTAAAATCATGAAAGAATTTGTAGGTCTACGATCTAAAATGTACGCTTTTGATTTAGAGAATAAGATTATAGCCAAGGCAAAAGGGGTAAATAAATGTATCACTAAAAAGATGACTATGAATAGTTATAAGTCTTCTCTATTTAAAAAGAAAGTACAATATTGTAGTATGCTTAGATTTAAATCGATTAAACACACAATTTTTACGCAAAAGCTAAATAAGATTTGTTTATCGTATAATGACACAAAAAGACATATTTTAGAAAATAATATTGAAACATTAGCTTGGGGTCATTATAAATTACGTTAAGGGTTGATATTTTTATCTCTATGCGTATACGTGTAATGATTGTAAAATTATGATATTACTATAATGTTACGTAGAGTTTATAACATATTTAATTATTGTTTAATTGTAAATAATGTAAGATAATAATGTAATTTAAGCAATATATATTAATTTTTTACAACAATACTTTCATTTTTTACATGGGTATTGATGAGTTAAAGTAACACACGTGTAGTATTGGTAGACTATATGCAATTCACTGCAGTCGAGCGACCGTAAATAATGTAAGATAATAATGTAATTTAAGCAATATATATTAATTTTTTACAACAATACTTTCATTTTTTATTTAATCCCTTTGAACTCTAGACGTGTGTAATGTTTCACTTTATTCATCCGTTTACTGCTATTGTAGCAGGACCAAGTGGATGTGGGAAGTCAAATTTTGTAACAAATTTCATAAAATCAGTTAAAGAAATATGTAATTGTGATTTTAATCAGATCACATGGTGTTTTGACGAAATGCAACCTTTATATAATTTACCAAATGTTAACTATCATCAAGGAATTCCAAATCTCAATATGTTTGATGGTGAAAACCCACATCTTGTTATTATTGATGATCTAATGAGAGAGTCTGATGGAAGAATTGTGGATATATTTACAAAAGGTAGTCATCACAGGAATCTTAGTGTATTTTATTTAACACAAAATTTATTTCATCAGGGTAAAGGTCAAAGAGACATTTCTTTAAACTCGAGTTATATAATATATTTTAAAAACCCTCGGGATAAAACTCAAATAAGATATTTAGCACGACAGGTGTCGCCAGATAATCCAAAATTTATTGAAGATGCCTACAGAGATGCAACTTTAGAAGCACATGGATATTTAATGGTTGATTTAAAACAGAATACTAATGATTTTTGTCGTATTAAGACGAATGTCTTTCCATTTAATGGTTATTGTACAGTTTACGTCCCCACAAAAGAGTTTAAATACATCAAGAATCAAGCAATTTAAATCATTTCTAAATGATGCATCATCGAGTCACAACGCATAAACATTTGCTTAACGCTTTGCATACGCTTAAACCAAAATATCAAAGAGCATTACTTAAAACATGTAATGAAGAAGAAATAAACTGTATTTGTGAGTGTATTCATAACGTTTTACAAGGGAAGGTACCTCTTAAAGATCAGGAGAAACAAAAATTGAATAAACACAAAAATATACTCCGTAAACTGATGCATAAGTGTAAACATAAACTAAGAAAAAATATAATTATACAAAAAGGAGGGGCTTTTTTACCAATAATATTAGGTGCAATATTGAGTGGATTAGTAAGTGGACTAGCTAGTTAACATGGAAAATGCAAAGAAAATGATACTTATTGAACCTGGATTGATTGAAAAATTAAAACAGGAAAATAAGGTTAATAGTAATTTGTCTCGATTAGATATTGAAATGCAAAACATTATGAATAGTAAGACGGAAGACCGTAAGAAGTGGATGTTATATTTACAAACACTACAAAGATACCTTCACTTTACCGAAGAGGATCGTCAACCACTCAGACTACCAATTTATTCTAATACATCTAATTAAGATTCAAATGAGTCTAAAATTGTCTTTAAAAATAAAGACAGCGACCTAAAACGTATAGTTAATGCCGAAGCTTTGTTGGGAGAGAATGGATCCATTAAAAGTGAAGAAAATGATACAAATCCACTTTACACACCAACTCAAATACTCAGTTTAATACCAAAAACTTATAATAAAAAAGGTCAGTTATTATTAAATTTAGTGGGAACAAATAAAAGTAAAATACATTGGGATAATGAAGGCACAGTCATAATTGATAATGAAAAAATTCCTGGAAGTAATATCGTTGATTTAATAAATGATTCACTAAGACCCTTAAAAAAAAGTGATCCGATAGGGTGGGATAGATTTGCTAAAGCATTAAAAGATATTAAAGTACCACTTACTTATATTGGAAACCCGAAAAGATGTGAGTTTATTAATCATCTTCAAGCAAATGATCTGAAAATAACCTCTGAGATTGAAGATCAAGAGTTTTCTACACCGAGCAGTGAAGATAAAAGATCTTTAAATAAAATACGGAGAAAGCTCGAATGGGAAAAATGGACCCCGTACTAGAAGAAATTAATAGTATTTATTATGATCCAGCTAACCCCGCTGGTTTTAGTAGTATTGATAAATTATCAAAAGCCATGAAGGGTAAAATGGATAAAAAGCAAGTAAAAGAATGGTTACAAGCACAAGAATCATACACATTACATAAACCCATTCGGAAAAAATTCCCCCGGAATAGATATATTATATCAAATATTAATGAACTGTGGCAAGCTGATTTAAGTGATATGCGAACTTATTCTCAATATAATGATGGTTATAACTACATACTTTGTGTTATTGATGTATTTAGTAAATATGCTTTTGCAAGATCAATGAAAAAGAAAAACTCAGAAACAACTAAAGAATGTTTTGAAAGTATATTTACTGAAAGTAATTCAACACCTACTCACATACAATCTGATAAAGGTACAGAATTTGTTTCAAAAGATGTACAAAAATACTTTAAGTCCAAAAAGATTAATTACTATACCACTAATAATCCTGATATTAAGGCCAGTATTGTTGAACGATTTCAAAGAACTCTAAAAATGAAAATGTGGCGATATTTCACTCATAATAATACTTATAGATACATAGATGTTTTACAAGATTTAATTTACTCTTATAATCACAGCATTCACTCTAGTATTAAGATGTGTCCACGTGATGTAAATTCTAGCAATATTATGACAGTTTGGACTAACCTTTATGACAGAGGATCAAACAAAGTTTCTTTAAAAAATCCAAAGCCAAATTTCAATGTGGGTGATTATGTTCGAATAACTAAATATAAACATGTTTTCCAAAAAGGATATGAATCAAATTGGAGTGATGAAATATTTATTATATCTTCAATAATTGATAGATCTCCATGGGTCGTATATACAATAACAGATTTACAAAATGAACCAATAGTTGGTACTTTTTATGAAAAAGAATTACAGAAGGTCACTTACAACCCCACCTCACAATATAAAATAGATAAAATAATTGACTATCGTTATTCGGGTATCAGAAAAGAAGTATTGGTGAAGTGGAAAGGTTATCCAGATAAATTTAACAGTTGGATTTTAGTTTCTAGTTTAAAAAAAATATGATTAAAGAAAGTTTTTATTTAACTTTGCTCAGCAATAGTTCAATGGAATATTTTCCTGATAACAAGACTACAAATTTTTCAACAAAATTACCAAAATCTATTAAATTAGAAGGTGAATGGTCGGTTGGAGTTGTCGAGTTTCAATATCCATGCACCATGTTTACTGTTCAAAATCACGAAAATGTTATATACATTACAAAAAACATGATAATGCCTAATGAAGATAAACCATCAACAGTGTACCTCAAAAAGCATATTCCAGCTACCAACTATGATAACGTTGAACATATTTTAAAAACGTTAAATGCTTTGGGAGAGAACTTAAGATTCCGTTATGATGAAATAACAAAATTTGTGTCTGTTTCCGTTTTGGATAAAAATATATCATCTGTAACATTATCACCCAAATTAAGTTTACAACTAGGTTATGAACCAAATAAAAATCTTCTAGAGAGAAATTTTGGAAAGTGTCCTGCTAATTTACACTTAGGGTTACCATCTCAACTATTTGTATATTGTGACATAATCGATCCTCAGATTGTGGGTGATGTTATGACTCCTTTATTGAGAATCATTTCATTAGATCCTACAAAATACATTTATGGTGCAAATAAAATGCATGTTTTCTCTCCACCTCACTACTTACCTGTTATGCGAAGAGAATTCGATACCCTGGAAATAAATATAAGATCGAGCACAGGACAAAAAATACCATTCCAGTTTGGAACCGTGTGTATTAAACTACATTTCCGAAAATTACAATAATGTATTCTCTTCCTGATCATCATAAATGTCCATATCAAAATTATTATACACATCAAGCCGGATCAGGAATCGGAGTAATTTATAAGGGTTCACCATATCAACGCGGTCATGGTATTGGGAGCTTCTTAGGGGGTTTATTTAGATCAGTTTTACCTTTACTTTCAAGCGGTGCTCGAGTAATTGGTAAGGAGGCATTAAACGCCGGAGTAGGTCTTTTATCAGATATGGTTCAAGCGCGTCCAATGGAAACCTCAATAAAAGATCGTCTAAAGCAAGTTAGCACAAACTTAAAACGAAAGGCTGATGATAAAATTGATCGATTAAACATGACAGGATCTGGGTATATAACTAAAAGAAAACGATTGCCCTCATTCATTCCACCATTAACTGCTAAAGTGAAAGCTGCAAAAAAACTTGGTCTAAAACCAAAAAATATCAAAGATATATTTTCAAATTAAATATGTCTTTTCTTCATAATCATTCTTGTGAGTGCGTTAAATCAGAATTGGATTTGTTTGCACTACCGTCTACACAAACAAGCATTGAAAATGGATTGTGGATTCACTATAAACCAATTTCATCTCTTGCTGATGATGGACCTATCGAGTTTCAAGTTCCTGGTACAGGCGATGACTACATGGATTTGTCTCATACATTACTCCACATAAAGGCAAAAGTATTAAATCAAGATTCAACCAACTTGATGTCGGCTACCGTAGTAGCACCTGTAAATAATTGGTTGCATTCACTTTTTAGTCAACTTGATGTTTATTTGAACCAAAAACTTGTATCACCACCTAATAATACCTATGCCTATCGAGCATACATGGAAACCCTTTTAAACTATGCACCCGCTGCTAAAGAATCTCATCTTACTTGTAGTCTTTGGTATGAGGATACAGCAGGAAAAATGGATTCTACAGATGGTAAAAACATAGGATTTGTTAAAAGACAGGAATTAGTTACTGAAAGTAAGGAAGTAGAAATGATTGGACATCTGCATGGTGACATTTTCAATCAAGATAAATTTTTAATTAATGGCGTTGAAATGAGTGTAAAATTAATTCGTTCAAGAGAGAGTTTTAATTTAATTGCTGGGTCAAACGATGTAAAGTTTAAAGTTTGCATTACAGATGCAACTCTTATTGTTCGAAGAGCACGCATTAACCCAAGTGTGTTACTTGCACATCAGAAAGTTTTAGCTTCTACTACTGCTAAATATCCTATTACTCGAGCAGAAGTCAAAGTTTTAACAATTCCATCGGGTGTTCAAGGAAAAACTCTTGATAATATATTCCTAGGACAGGTACCCAAAAGATGTATAATCGGGTTTGTGAACAATTCTGCATTTAATGGTTCCCTTACTAAAAATCCATTTAATTTTGAAAACTATGGTATAAATTCTTTCAGCTTATATATTGATGGTCAACAAATACCTTCAAAAGCTTTACAACCATCTTTTAATAATAGTATATTTACATCAGCATATCATACTCTGTTCTCAGGAACTGGTATTCACTTTCTTAATGAAGGAAATGCAATCTCTCGTGAACAGTATGCTAAAGGTTACTGTCTATTAGCATTTGATTTGACACCTGATTTGTCAGCTAACTCATCATCTCATTGGAATCTCATAAAGCATGGTAGTGTAAGATTAGAAGTGCGATTTGAATCCTCACTAATACAAACAATTAACTGTATAGTGTATGCTGAGTTTGATAACATTATTGAAATAGATAAAAACAGAAATATTACTGTAGACTATAGTAGTTAAGTAAGTTATAATGTGTGTTGTGTATTAGGTTTATGTATTATTCGTAATGCATGTTATGTGTATGTAAGTTTAAGAAACATTATACAATTAAATAAAACAAATTATATGCAGTATATCATTTTTTATTTCATTATAACCCCTTATTTAATTTTATATAAAACACTATTTGAGTTTAAGCTTTACATAAGCACACTCACTAAACCACTGAACATGTTGCTGCCAAGGATCATCATCATCTTCCCAATCTTTTAAACCACCACCACAATGGAAACATTTGGTCCTGTCTCCACATCCAGTATAAAAGAAACCGGCTTCTGCAAGATCTTCAGGTTTCTGTCGCATAGCGAGAGGCCAGTCTTCAAAACTGAGCAACCGTCTAGATTTTGAACTGAAGAATGGATATTCAGCACTTAGGTACTGAATGTTCTTCTCTTTTTCCTCTCCACTGAGCATTGTAACCTTACTATTCAATGACGTGTTCTGTACATGTATACCACACTCATCTCTCCCTTCTGCACTTGTCATTCTCTCACGATCACAAGACAACTGGTCCTTTACACCACTCATTATTAATATATTATAGTCTAGCAAAGGATTATAAAATCAGATAGAATCTAATGAGTACACAGAAGTAATTTAAGGAAACAGAATCACATTCACTAATGATTGTTATTGTTAAAAAAGTATTTTTTAACTGTTTCACTTTCTGCTATTGTCTTTGTAATATTGTATATGAGGCTGTTTGTGTCATCGTAGATGCTATCATTATTATTCTTTATATAATATTTAATCCTCGTGGTGGCATGTTTCCAATGATCAGTAGTTGGAATCTTACATAGTTTCTTCATATCATACATTTCAACTTTTATTAGATGCGTCGCTTGGTTTCCGTCATCGGAATTAGTAGAAATGTATGATACACCATCTCTAGAGGCTCGTGCCACGGTTGATGATAACAGTTTCTTCTTTTTTATTTTTGGCGCCACTTCAAAAAACTGATCAAGCGCCGGCGATTTCCTTTTTACACCATCACGTGTGTTATTAATCACGATGTCATCACTCTGTTCTTCGCATTGAGGGGAGAGTGACGAGTAGTAATACTGTTTATATGTATTTTAATCGAAGTTGAATGATTTCTGCAACAACACAGTTATCATGTTAATATCAATTTATTTACGCTTATGAAACACCACACACACGTTAGGAAACAGAAAGAAAAGAAAGTTTGTTAATAGAATATAAACACTTACCTCCATGGGTATTGATGAGTTGAAGTAACACACGTGTAGTATTGGTAGACTATATGCAATTCACTGCGGTCGAGCGACCATAGACTGATTGCATGCCGGCAGTTGTTCGACCTTATATAGTTATTTCTTATCT